ATCTAGCTGTGCTGTCGCAAGTGATGCTAATACACGCTGCGGTATTCGCTCGCACACGATTCGCTCATTCTGCATTGCGACACAAAAGTTTACATGCTGCGACAATGGTAATTCCCACCTGATTTTCAAGTGGCAATGGTAAGCCTATTGGACGAAGCAAGATATCCCAGCGTTACGAATAGCGCTGCAATGCGCTGGTTATCCTTAAGTACCGCACCAGGTGTCGACCGCGCAATTGTTACACACGCTGGCGGTAGTGTAGACTCACAGGTAATCTTAAACGTAGACGGAGATGCAACAGATAGAGTCAGCCTATCGGAAAGATCGTAGACGGAGCTTTATAAAAATAAAAAATAGACTCACGGCGAGTAAAAAAGAGGATTGTGGTAGTGGAGCCTTGAGACTAGTCCGGTTCCAAATGCAGACAAACATTGTTGCCTAGACCAGCTATCATCTCACACCGAATTTAACTTAGGATAGTTGGAACACAAAGGATAGCACTGGTTCTGTGGGGTGCGAGCAAGTAACGAGGACCCACCTGCAGTGGGTGGCTTACGCGCATAATTGATATAGCGACGATACACGCCGGAAAAAGTACCCACGGGAGAGCGCTCACCCGCCGACGTTCCTGAAAACCTTCGAGACATGTTGTTATATACCCGTGAAAGACGGGGGGAGCGGGCGCGGGGGGGGGCGCACGTCTCTCTACCAGCGCGCGTCAGAGCGGCCGCAAGCACTGATGCAGAGCCGGTCTGCTGCGCCCTACCTAGCGTTGAAGACACATGCTTTGGCTCCTCGTCGTCGTCCGACCCCGTGAGATCAACTACCGTCGCCCAAGGCATAATTGAGGATGATTACATTGCAACACGATAACTGGGTTCAGCTTAACTACGGCGCTCGTTTGCGCGGGGTTTTGCCTGGGACTCGCCAGTCGTCCGATGGGGAGTTGCCCAAAATAGAAGCGGCGTCCATTGAGGCCTCCATTGGGCACGACGCGAGGATTATTTCCTGACCCTCCTCTAGCGCGACGCGGGCAACTAACTCACTAGGCTAATTGTCCAACCTTTGGGGGAAGCCCCTTGCCATGCGCTCATGAACGAGCCGCAACGTCGTGGCGGCCCCCTTTGGCGAGATCAGGTGTCTTGTAGTAGTATGATAACCACAGCTAAAGCTTCGCGCACGCAATAACTGTCCGTCTCGTTCTACACGGGGAGGAGGGCTTCTCGCCGCGGCGAGTCGAGCGGCGCGGGTGCCCGTTCTCATCGCAAAGCGGAGATTGGACCGCACAGCCCCGCGACAAGAGAGAGCGCGCGCGCAGAATCGCGGCGCGCGCGTTGTGTCGATTTTGCGAGCGGCAACTTGAAGGCAACTAACCAAAAAGAGGTCCCTGATTGGTCAGGAGGTGACAACAGCGGTAGCATTCTTCGAGGACAGACGAATTAGTCATTCACATCCCAGGCTCCAAAACAGACATCTACAACGACGGTTACAAGCTTAATATCAAACTGCGAGCAGACGACACGCCGTCTGGCATAAACCCGTTATGTCTCCTTCCGCAGCTGTACGCGATGAACCCAGCTCGCTTCGGAGCCAACGGGTCCAAGCGGCCTGTGTTCTGCTTAGCCTGCGGTAGGGTCCTGGAGCGTAGCACAGTTAACACAGCACTCAAGGCAGCGGCAGTGGCCCTGGGATTGGATCCTGCTGATCACGCCACCCACTCACTGCGGGCTGGTGGAGCTACAGCCTTGTATGCCATCGGGTGGCCTCCTTCGAAGATCCAGCGTCGAGGGCGGTGGCTGTCCGATTGTTGGTTATTGTACATCTGGCCGGATAGGGAGGAGGCAGCAGGTCTCATGGAAGACGTGGTCTCCAGTCCGGCCCCCTTGTTCCATATTTTAAAAGGGGAGGTTACTTTCCCTCATTATTGCAGGAGTGTGGCCGGGCTGAGGTGGCTGCGCCATCCAAGCGCGGTCCGTCGGCCTTCATTCTGGCATCTTTAATTGAAACCGAGCCCGGCCTCCCCTTGAGGGAGGCTCCCCTTGAGGGAGGATTTTACTTTGCTTCCTTTAGCTCAGGCTAGTGGGAGATACGAAAGAGGCCTCGAAAGGCCAAGTGGACGGAAACCCTGGAGACGGCATCTCAAGGCTTGGTCCGGACTTCTTGGTCCGGTCCTCACGATTGGATGGCTCGCAGTTTATTTTGTACGGTCCGCTCAATCTTGGTCCGCGCAAACCGTTCATTTACAGTATAATTTTCGCGACCGGACCAAGATTGAGCGGTGGTTCCCTAGTATTACTTGCATGGCTACCTCAGCAATGACCGTATATAAAGCGGCGAGAGTGGGCATCTAACAAATAAATCGAAAGGTCCCTACAGATGCTGCCGCAGTCGCCTGCTAACATTACACCAGCAGAACAAAGTGAACCAGGTTTCACGATTCGCGCAGCATTTCTATTGTGGTGGGACATCCAAGAAAGTATGCAACGTTTTATCAAGTCTACCTTTGCTGTTCGTCTCGGCGCAGATGGTTCATCATGTCTGGCCAAACGTATCAGGGCGGTCGTCCTTCTGTGTCCTTGCACAAATCAATTGGTTGACATTCCTGCAGGCGTGGGCCAAGTCACTGCGAGATCAAACTGGGCTTCGTAAATTCATGCACCGCTGCGATTGCAAGTACAAGATCATGCGCCAAATTGCTGCATACAGAG